CTCTGCCCGTTCTGTTGGTTTTTGTCTTTTGCCCTTCTCCCCCGTCCCTCTTCTCAGCTGTTTCTCTTTCCCTCTTTCTTTCTCCCCTTCTTTTCCCCAGTCAAGTCTGTCCCGTATTCAGCAAGTGAAAATAAAATAAACAATAAAAGGTGAATCAAATGGACCATTATGGCAAGGCTGGGACGGTCCAGTTGGTAAAGTAAATCCGTTGGGCATCTTTCTTTGCCTTTAGACAATAATTCTGATGCAAAAGAGCCAAACGGGACAGGCAAAAAAAAAAAAATTTAAATCATTATTCAGAGAGCTTCAAATGTTTTCATGAACATCACACAGCAGCACAAAGCTGTTTCATCTCCGCTCAGATGAAAAGGTGTGAGCCTCGATGTTTCGCAGTCCCCGTCTCTTCTTCCAGTCCTCAGCTCCTCAGGCTCACCTGAAGATTCTCAGGTGAACTCGTTTTGCACTCAGCCATTCACTGCAGTGAAGTTAAACCCGTACACTGCTGTGTGTGTGTGTGCGTGCAAAGGAGTGCTTAAAGGTTACAGTGGTGCTGAGGTCCAGTTGGCCCTACCAGCGCCCCCCACTGGCCATAGGGTGTACAATCAATCTATTTCACCGAGTGTTCTGGCGTCTCACAGGTGATCAGAGTGTCAGCTCTCATATTTATCAGCAGTTTATCACAGAGAGGAGAAACTAAAAGTTTACAGCAGCTGCTGGTGCTCAGATGAGACGATCAATTGACAGACAGATAATCTGCAAACAGCAAAGCAAAGCTGAGACAGAAAAACAAGCCGCAGCATCTTTGTGATAAAGTTTTAATTTCAGCTGGCGTGTGAACATTAAAGAACATTTTACAGACGTCATTGATTCAACAAGAAAAGCCTTTGATCTGATTTTTGTTTACCGAGTTGAATTTTCTCTCAGACAGGAGAAGAGCAGGTGAGTTTAACCTGGTAGTGGAGCCTCTAGTGGCTGAAAGGAGCATTACAAAAACAAGCTGCTGTGATCCAGCTCTTCTTCAACACGCGATAATGATAATAATGATAATAATAATAACAATAATAATAATAATAATGTATACTTTATTGGTACCTTGCTCAGGGGTACCTCAGAGATATCCCTGCTGGTGTTTGTGCGCATACCTCGACTGACACTGTTTGATCGATCAGTTGATTGAATCACTGATCTGATTCATGAGGTAGGAATAGAGCGAGCGGGGAAAGGCGGATGTTGTGAAGATGAAGTCTGTAAAACTCTGGGAGTTTCCCCTGAGCCGGAACGATTTAAGGAGCATTCTGCATTTTCCGTCCTGCTGGCTTTCAACAGCGTGAGCAGAGCGCTGTACCTGCAGGGAGGACGTGAGGGTGGCGTTTCACCTGAATTTGGAAGTTCAAAGTTGACCTGAAACACATGGCAGTGTGGAATAAAGCGTAATGGCCCTTTAACCTGCTCTTCCCAGGCTGGATGGAGACTCAGTGAGGAAGCTTTGGAATAATGAACAAAACATGGACACATCTGCTGAGGCTCAATTCCTCCTCATGGATTCTGGTACAGAAACACTGATTATATCTGATTCTGTTATTGATTATCTTTATGTGTGTGTGCTGATCTCTGCTGCACTTTATGTTTTTTTTCCTGCGGCCGATGTGATGGACAACAAAGTTATTCTAATGCGTGATGGTGACACCAGAAGTTACATGGAGATCAGACTCCTGCCTGAGCTGTTCTCAAATGTGTTTGGACTCTGAGGCTCAGGATGATCACGGCTTCACAGCCAGATGTCGGAGGTACAGTCTCCGCCGGGGTACCGCAGCTCGTGGGCCAGAACCGGACCGTCGGGCTCTTTACCAAAATCCACCAGGAAGTCCTCATTCAGGGCCAGACCGCCATCCACAGTGTCCACATTGATCTGCATCATCACTGATCCCTCCCTGAGCACAGACACAGTAATAAGCATGTGCACACATGAGCACCACAGCAGCATCCTGTGAGTCATGAAATAGGTCCAGGTGGACTGAGGTGGAACCCCTGTGGGGTCAACGATCGCACCTGATCATGTCGGGGTAAAACTGTTTGTCCCAGCCGCTGTACAGAGACGTGGTCGTGTAGAGGCGCCGCCCGTCCAGACTGAGCTGCAGCATCTGAGGACTTCCAGCGATACGCTTCCCCTGAGATGGACACAGGTGAGACACAGAACAGTTGGGACGGATGTACAGCATGAGGAACATTTAAATCCATTTATGTCTCTGCAGGTGCAGTCTACACCTGTACCCCCTCCTGGGGTTATCGTGTAACCATGGTTACTCTATCAGGGGCTAAGAAGACACCGGTTCTTCTACAGAGCGACAGGTGTGCTGCTTCCTGCCTCTCTGCTTTGTGATACCTTTATGATGCAGGGGCGGGGCTGCTCCTGGTTCTCTGGGTCCTCCAGGACTCTGATGGGTCCGTCCCTGACAATGCTTCCTCCCAAGAACACCTGGAAGAGACAGACAGATAAGCGGTCTTGTGCTAACGATCCACATATTCAGTGACATCACCCGACAGGGTGATAAAACCACACCTGGCCGACGAGCTGTGGGTTTCTGCGGTCTGTGATGTCATATTGTCTGATGTCACCATGCAGCCAGTTACTGAAGTACAGATAACGGTCATCCAGTGAGATCAGGATGTCTGTGATGAGACCTGCGCAGACAGACAGGTGATGTGGTCAGACAGGTGAAAGACTGCAATCAAAGGGAAATGACTGCACTCACCTGGCATCTCGGGCAACATCCATCCCTCCACCTTCTTATTAGGAATGCTGATGACCTTCTCTGCGGCCCAGTCCCCCTCCTGAGACACAGAAAGCATGTTAGCTTCAGCATGCTAACACGCTAACACCTAGCATGCTAACATCGTCTGTCTGAGGTGGGTGGTTCCAGCAGCTGGTGCCGGAGCACAGGTGAGTCGCACCTGTCTAACCTTCAAACCTGCTGAATGTTCACCACAGTTTGCTTTTCCAACTCGTCTTCCTCGTTTATTGCCTGCAGAGATCAGCTGATCATCTTTAACAGAACCACACACTCACTGCCGTTTTGTAGAATCTGAAGACGGTTGAATTCAGTGCACAGCCCACGTAGCCCTCAGCGGCACTCGGCTCATGGAGGAACCGGACCTCCAGTGGAATGGCGCCCTCTTCTCCTAGATCAAGCCTCTGCAGCTTCTTGTGGGTGGTCCAGTCCCAGATATTCAGGGCGCTGCCATAGAGCCCTGCAACACAACAAGAACCCAAAGCGTCTCAGCTGATGGATACTTATATTGATAAGGATTACTGGGACCAGAGCCGGGTCCAGAACAGACGGACACGAAAGAAGCAAAGAGGGACACTGGGAGGAGGTTCAGACTCTTCCTCTTACTCACCTTCTTGGACATGAGCTGGATTAAAACCGTTAACCAGAGCTTTGGGCGCTCCCCACTCGGTGCTGATCATCACATTGTGCCGAGGCTGGTACCAAAAGTCGTAGCCGAACGGCGCCGCCTCGCCTTGGTGCTCCCAGTTACTGATCACCTCGAACGTCTCACCATCCAGAAGAACAAAACCACCTGAGTGAAGATGAGCAGTTAAACTCAAAGACCGGCCTGACCCATGGGCTTCTGGAGTCCCATTTGCCTCTCAGCAAACAAAAGGGGCGGTGGCGTGCAGGGTTTGCGATATGGCCTAACCTTTGGCGTTACCGGACGGGTCTCCCATGCAGCTGATCATAATCTGACCACTGCCCAGGCAGTGGCTGGTGTGAGGGTTCGCCAGGCCGCACTTCCAATACAGCTCGATGGGCTCCACCATCTGAAATGTAGTTAATATTCATCACACACACACACACACACACA